CCTGTGTGTGTGTGTGTGTGTGTCTGTCTGTGTCAGTGTGTCATCATGGCAAAATGTAGCCCAGAAACATACTTCAGAAGAGGTTTTGAACACTGTGACAGGTGTTAATATGTCTGTCTGTTGACAGATTTTGTCAGTATGATAGTGTCACAGCTGTGGCAGATACACTCATGAAACTTCACAGATGTTTGGTTGGCTTTAGACTGAAGACAGAGGTCAAAGATCAGGGTGGTCCTGCCCGTGAGTACTATGTGTTAATGTTCAAATATAGTAAAGACTTCTTGGTACTCACAGGGAGGAATTCAAACATTTGACTTCCACTGTGACTGTGTGAAACCTCTGCAAGATGGCCTCCAGTTACATACATCACTGATGAAGGATATTGAGTTGACACCAACTTTGTCATGAGAGAATTGTGAAAAATAGTTGGTTGAGAAAATAGATGACAAATATAGTTGCAAAATGTGCAGATAATATCAAAACCTTTATAACACAACACCAATTTGCAATATTGGAATGCCTACAAAAAACTCTAACCGACCTATGACGTATTCAGTCTTGTATAGTGGATATAGTTAGAACATTTTAGACATGTGTTTCTTTCTGTTGGACCTCACCTTTAATAATATTCTGATTTACAAGAATTTCACAGCATCCTTTTTTTCTTTTTCCTTTTTTTTAATGCTTGACTGATAGCCTAAAGGAGCTCTATTGCCGGGTGTTTACTCAACACAGGCATTAAACATAACTGTCAATTAAGAGTGGAAGTCAGGGTTCTTAATGGCCTTGTTTAGACTGTTGCATGAACAAGTATTAGTGTCTCACAGTTTGAGAGAGTGTGTGTGTGTGTGTGTGTGTGTGTGTGTGTGTGTGTGTGTGTGTGTGTGTGTGTGTGTGTGTGCATGTGCAGAAGGTTAGGTAATAAGGAGGGGCATGTGTAACTTATGTGTGTTTGTGTGTGCATGAAGTAAAAGTCTGCACAGTTCACTCCCCTTGATCATCTAGAGTAGTTAACATTTCACCTGACACCTTTACGAGAGGACAGGACCCCAGACTCATTTTTAAAAGTCCTCTGTCCACTTTGATGTGTTTTATTGAATACAACTGTACCTGATTTGTATGCCTACCTTTTTGGTCTCTCAGTCTCCCCTAAATATTAGTATTACTTACGATTAAGTCAGCAGTATTTACAGTTGGGTCTTAATAGGTCGGTTTAGCTTGAAATGTATGAGTACCCGAATGTGCAGAATTCAAGAGGTTAATTATGTATTTTATGTATATTTCTCATTTCATTTAAAGTTTGCCATGTAAACTTTTTTTTTATATAGCTTTCTTTCCCTTTGTTTGCAGTTTGCTTTTTCTTTTGTAAAAGATATTGGAATAACCTTAAATCAGGTGCTGTGTCTGAACTGAATGATATCTTTGGGTAACATTAATTTTTTCAGGAGTCTTATAAAAAATATACATTTATCTAGATTTATCTTGTGAATTATTAGATAACTGTACTGCACATCAAATCACGAACAAATGCTGTCCTCCAGCTTGTCTCTGTTCGAGACAGCCAAAACTGGAGATCATTGTAAACAAACTATAGGCTCATATCTGTGTTAAAAGCCTGTTTACTTTCTCTTGCCAAGTCTTTGTCTGCCACTAATTCCAATTTTTGTCTGTCTTTTTTTTTCTTGCCAAATAATTTTATTTACTACGATGATGATAATTATTTCCTGCAGTTACTGCAAATCTTAATTAACCCTCGATTGTCCTAAAAAAAACCTTGACTTCAGCTTGTTTGCATCAGAGATATACTGTTTGAGGTATTTTGGAGGTGACAGGGTTGATAGAAGGATAAAAGCTAAAAAAGAGCTGCACAAATTATCTGCATACGAGCTGTTTATTTGGTCAGTGATAAGAGAAATGAGTCCACTTGCTCGACAGCCCATGCACAGGGCTCTGTGATACCATCACATTAGTTTTCAATGACAACTAGTACTTAGTGTGGAACACACGTGCTATATGATAGGATTATGTCTGTAATTGATATGCAATGTGTGGAATTAAAGAATATCTAGATAAGTTTGAATTGTCGGCCGAGTCTAAAACACAGGCTTAGCCGTAAGCTTCCATAGTGCTCTGCGTAACACAGTGTGTTTCACCCTTGAGGATCAATATCCAGCCTTTGTCAAGGGCACTCTGGTTCCTTCTGCCACAAGTCTAATGAATCTGAGCCAAAGAGCAGGATCTTCAAAGGGAACTCAAATTCCTCTGCACAGTTGTAACTAATTGTGGCATAAATTCACAATCGTTTTATAACTTGCTTCACAGCTTGAGGTTTATCATGTGCAATCACCGCCTTGTTCCCATTTTCACCTGCCATTGCTCTCAATCAAACAAAGAGGCCGAGTGGAAAGCTTCTTTTCATGTGTTCAAAGGTGCCCGGTCGCCCGACATTTTTTTTATTTATTTTTCTTTTCCTTTTTTTTTTAACAGAAACAATAACTCTTTTTATTGAGAACAAATGTTGACATTTGAAGGGAGCAGCAGCAGGTGAGAGGAAGAGCGAGCCAATGAGAAGCAGGGCCTCTGTGTGCTTTGGAGACTGCCTCTGGTGCTATTTGACAACAGTGCCTAGTCCCCGGGGGAGCCCACCTGAGAATAAAGCATGCATTTCAATAAATCAGCTCCTAATGAAAGCATTTGGACTCAAGAAGAAGAAGCTGGCCAGGGGCTATAACGTTCATAACTTCCATACACTGGTTGTTGCCAGAGATGGAAATGATAGTAAAGCAGATAAAATAAATCAAGTTAAGGATGATGATGTTCTAAGAAAAAAAATCAAATTTAAAGAAGAAGCTTTCTTTACTTACTTGTTGTTTATCCTTAAAGAGACATCATGACCATCCCTGGTAATGTGACTCCGTGTACAACAAATCATACATAAAATATGTTCCAAAAACTCATGTCAGCCTTAGAAATGGAGTATTTGACAGTAGGTGGGATTAACCTTCATCGTTTCACTGGTGGCAACTACTATTGCGTCCTTGAATTGGGGTCGGGGTCCCATGACATTTGAACAACACTTAAACTCTGATTCAGCTGGAAAATGAAGGATTAGCTCCTAGTCTAGCCGAGAGCGATGAAGAGAAGACTCTTCTTTGAGGATTGAAAGATCACATGTGATCAAACATATTTAGGCTAGAGGAAATGGGAAACATTATTTACAAAAAGTAACGTCGCCTACAAATATTGCCTCACTACTACGACCGGGCCTGCAACTAATATAATTAATAATAATGGAAATAATAGCAATAGCCTACTCAGACTGGAGACTGCTTTCGGTTTTAACTGTTTAATTAGCTCTTTCTTCTATACTGCCCAAGCCTTCGTGAAAAGCAGGGGAAAGGCTGTCCGATTAGGGCCCATCACACAGCCCATTGGAGCTGGCAGATGCTTAGATAGACTTTTATGGATTGCTCGATGCCGCGCTGTAATGAAGCGGGCAGGGCTGACCCATCTTGAACCGGGCTTAAAAGCTCCAGGGACGGCCCCGCTGGGAGCCCATAATGCCCGATGCGTCCCCCGGTTGTATTAATCACACACACACATAAAAAAAATAGATGTGTAGCAGGGCGAGGGGAGAGGAAAAGGAGAGAAAAAAATTAAATAAGCACGTCGTTTATCCCCATCAGTGTCTTGAATATGTGACCGAGGGAGAATCCCTTAGCAGAATGAGGTCCTAAAAGAAAATGATTGTCCATTTAGGAGGAATGGATTGTGCAATCTGTGAAAACTCATAATGGTTATGAATAGTGAAATTCATCAAGCATTTCCCATCTGCGCTTCAGTGCCAAAAAAAGAACAATGGGCAGAGAAATGTTAGTGAAAAGTGTTAAATATAAGTCTGCTTTGCATAAAATAAGGACTCCCAAAGATAAATAGTTGGGAAAGAGTTTAATATTTTCTCATTTGAGTAATGGATATAATGACCCGCCAGCATATTTATACCAGCACATTTTATTTTATATACATTCAAAGATATAAATTACTAAAAGTACTCCTGATAACAAGATTGTGCGGTTTTTTGTTCTTTTCCCAAATACATTTCAATTAAAAACCGTCCATAATATATATGTATATTTACAAAAGAAACACTAGATGTCAGTTTGCAATACAACTTGCATAAATTATAGGCATCTTTCCGCCATCGCTTAAAAAAATAAATATCAAATGTAGGCTTTTCCACATATGAGTCCTCGAGTTCAGTTCAGCAAGACACCTCCTTGAAACAGAAACGATTTCAGGCCAAATGTTGTTTTCACGCATAAAATACATAGTGAAATAAAATGCCGTGGCAAAAAAAAACAAAAGCAAAAAAGAAAGAAAAGGAAAACAAGAGGAACCTGAGAAATAACGTGTAAATCACATATAATGGGAGGCATACTTCAAACTTGCACGTGAAATCCATTGTCCATCCAACAACACACTTTAACACAATGAGCAGACGTGCGCGTCTCAGTCTGCGTTTGCTGAGAGGGCGGTAGCAGCTTTCATTCTGACAAGATGGTGGCACTAGATCCGGTTTGGAGTAAAGGTTATGGGGGTTAAAATGTGAGGCTCAAAGGTTGCGTCCTTTTCTCGTTTTATAGTCAAAGCAATTGTGACACCTACCTGCAGAGCGTGGAAATAAAAAATCCCACATCGTTTGATCAATTTCATCCTCAACCACAGAAAACACAGGTTGGCTCCAACAACAAAAAGAAAAGTATATATTAAGCCTAAAACAAAAACATCTGTGTCCTCCAAGTGCATGTTATAAAGTCCCCGTTAACTGCTCCTAAAAACGTCTTTAGGCCAATCAGCGGCACGAAACGAAAGCTTTTCATGTGCGCGAGAAAAGTAACCAGCAAGCACCTCCGTGACATTTGAAGATGCGAAGTTGTAAAACTGCGCGGAGCAAACTTAATTTGTTTGCTTTTGGCTGACCCTGTGTAATTAGAATTATCCCAAGCTGACAGATAAGGTCTGAAGCCCACTGTGCACGCACACACACACACACGCACACACACGCTCACTCTCACACACACACACACGCAAACGCGCGCACATAAAAAGGGGAACATTAAAAATAGGGTTCCTGTTCAAAGCTATGGCAACATTTCTCTGCTTATCGGATTCACGGGCTGGATTCTCGGCCTTGTCCTTTTGCTCGACAAACTTTTGCGCGTCCATTTGCAACAGGCCTCTGCAGACTCAGACAAGCTCGCTGCAAATACATTTCTAAAAATGCCGTCGCGTGCTTTTAATGATCCTGCAGACCACAAATATGCATATGTTTTAAAAAGAAACTAAACAGAGACATTATATAGTCTTTATTCCTGAAAACGACGGTACTGGAGATGAATAAGTCATGGGTTGAGTTCGATGTGAACTGTCATTCACCTCCTCAAAAGACAAAAAAACTAAACAAAAAAACGTTTTACTTTCTTGTTAGGCTGTAGCGTCTCTTTTAATCTGTCAGTGCTTCAACGTGATGTCTGTCTCTGCTGCAACGTCGCACGGAAAAGGGATCAATTTACTCAAAGTAAGACAGAGACAGACAACTCATCCCATAATGTCACAGCAATGACACATGAAAGTGACACAGAGGAAACCAGTTAGTCTGCACTGAAAAAAAACAAGTGAACTCCTTTTTTTTTTAACTTCCACCCGTGTAGGAACATACGATCAATTCCAAGCTTCAACAGAAGATTAAATAAGTTTTCATAAGTTATCATTTTGGTAACAGTCGCTCAGTGCGTCACGTCATTACGTACCTTTCTTAGCCTCTAAATTTGTGGGTCTGAAAGGCTGCTGCTGCTGCTGCTGCTCGACTGCTGCAGCAGCAATCTGGTTTGGGTTATTTTTAACGAGGGGGGGGGAGTCTGGCCTGTGTTTGGGGCTGGGGCTGGCCTCCGCAGCCTGCTGAGAGGAGCTCAGACCCTCGTTGGCTGCAGCGGCCGCAGCGGCCGCAGCGGCCGCGGCCAGACTCACTCCGGACGCGTTAGTGTAGCGCAGGATCCCCTGGCCCTGCAGGGGGCTGAAGCCGCCATAGTTTGTGTAATTGCTATAAAAGGGAGACGTGTAATAAATAGGTCTTCCGAGGATGGAGGGGGCCGGGTAGAGGGAGGGGGTGCTGGCGGCGGGGGGGTTGCTGGAAGGTGTTGGGGGAGTGAGGAGTCCCCCGCTGGAGGAGGGGCAATGCGGTTGCCCGGACTGCCCCAGTTGCTGTTGCTGCTGATGTTGCTGTTGCTTTTGGTCCGAGGTAGCGATCTCCGCCAGAGACCACAACTTGGGCTTGACCGTAGGGTTCTGAGGGGAAGGCCTGCTGTCAAAGCACGAGGAGAGTTTGATGGTGTTTAGGTGGTGGCCACTGACGAGGCTCCGGCTGGACTCCTCGCGCTGGAGCTGGTGGTGGAGGTGATGGAGGGGGTGGTGGTGGTGACTTATGACCGGAGCTTCCACTCCCGTCAGAGGGGACGACGTCACGGCTTTGGGGGAGAGCTGGAGCCGGTGGTCGTGGTGCTGGTCGTCGCTGTCCTCGGGGCATTTTTCGGCCGTCCGGTCGGTGGTCAGCTCGCCCGCACAGCTGACCTTCTCCCCGTCGGACTCCGCCGAGCATGAGTGATCCGTGAGAGTGTCCACATGCAAGCTGATACCTGAGACACGAGGGGAAAAAATATAATATTTAACAAAATAGCGGTCAACACAGTTAAAAAATATATATATTGCCAAAAAACAAAAATAGAGAAATATTATTAAACTTTTAAACTAATTTTAAATAAGATCCTGACTACGACATTTGTAAAAATGTTAAGAATGTCCATCTTAATATATCTCTATAAACATATTAATTAAAAATTCCTTTCTATAGAAAAACAATAACCTAATGCTTACTTTTTTTACACAACCTCGTACTGGTGAGAGGCATTAACTGCCACATTTCTGAGACCACTCCTGGTGAGAGCTTATTATGTGTCTGCATTGTCAGTGACCCGTCATTAATCATGTTAAAGGAAATAAAGTTCCCCTTGTAACATTTAGAGTAGCGTTCAACCTTAGAGCCTTGTGTTTATTGAAATTTGTAATAATTAATTTGGTCATCTAACCAGTCTATAAAGCCAGACAGATGCAGGAGGTCAAAATATATATTTTCTTTTTTTAAATCAATTTAGGTATTAAATAATTTAATATTTGTGTTTTGTTTGTTTTTGTTTTTTTTAGAGGTTCTCCACGTGTTTGCAATGAATTGAATCGCTCGCCTAAACGCTGACTATGTTGTCAAATAACGCTGCACCTTCATCGTCTGCCGACGCCTCGCCGTTATCCAGGGTTTTATCAGAGCGCTCCACGTCTTTCCTCTCCCCTTCCCCCTCATCCTCGTCCTCATCCTCGCTCTTATTCCTGGGCGCCCATGTCATCTTGTTCTCCTTCTTGAGCCTCCTCCGGGCGTTGGCGAACCAGGTGGACACCTGGGTCAGGGTCATCTTGGTGATGATGGCCAGCATGATCTTCTCCCCTTTGGTGGGGTAGGGGTTCTTCCGGTGCTCCTGTAGCCAGGCCTTCAGAGTGGCCGTGGCGTCTCTGGTGGCATTCTTGCGGTAAGCCGGGTCGTTGAGCTGGTATGGGTACCCCGGGCTGCCATATGGATGGTAGGTCAGAGCCCCGGCCATGCCCGTTGTGTGCGCGTCATAAGGAGAAGACTGGGGGGGAAAGAAAAAGAAAAGAAACTCTTGAGTGTGCAATGTGTGTGTACCCGGTTATCTTAACAAAAGGCTTAGTTTCCTACGCTTAAATATGTTTTTATAACCACAAATGAGTCAGCAAATTAAAAGATCGAGTACAACTGTTAAAAACGCACAATGTATGTTATTGTAAAGGGTTTCTGAGTAAGACCACAAGTTTCTGGAAACGTTACGAAACACGTGGAAAGTAGCTAGAGGAAAAGGATTTGTTTTTATCCCCATACGCTATAAATTCAGTTACATGGTGTAAATGTGCATGAATGGAGAAATGCAATGCGTTGTTGATCATAAACAAATTACAAATAATTAACATTTTGTGCTGCTTTCATAATGTATCCACTAGAAATAAAAGTGTGAGGTAAGAATGTTTGGGTAATAAGTGCAAGAAAAGCCGACCATAAAAGCCATTACTAATAGTTCAGATCCTTATCAGTCAAACTAACAGAGCTCCTGTTAATATAGCAGTCAGGATTAAAAAAATGTTCCATTTTCATGAACTGCTATTGTCTTCCTTATTTGCTGTCAGTGACAGCTTTTTGTTTAGTTGTGGCAGCCCCGGTGTGTTAACATATCTTCCCTTTGCAGCATTACAAATCCCATTAGCAAATCACTTGATATGCACCTTTTCAAAAACGCTTGAAGTGCCCTGTGACATTAGCATTGCGAGTCATGCTTTTCAAGTTAAAATTCAGTTTATTCAGCTGAGAGGGAAGTGTGCAACTTCATCCTCTGTTGATCTTAATGACGGCCGAAGAAATAAAAAAGAGGAGTTACAGTTTATGTTCTTTTAATTTTCCACCGTGCGTAAATACGCTTCTTGGAGTCTAAACGTGCTATTAGAGACCTTGGGTATTCCGTTTTACACAATTAGCTGCGCAGCGAGTGTTAAGCGTTGGTCAATCCATTACGGTTTGAAGCCCGTGCTTAAATATTCCATTTAAGCCGTGTGGGTGAAGGACTTATAAGGAAGGCTCCTTCTCCGAGGCTTCTTACTTTTACAAAAATCGTCAGTATTTTCACAGTTTAAGTCGACGTTCACCTGCTTGGAAGGGCGGCCATAGAGAGACAGACACATGAGATTTTTTTTTTTACCATGTAAGATGGGAATCCCGTAGTTGGATCTGCGGAGTATGACAGCGGACTGGAGAAGCCTGCGCCGGCAGATGCGGAAAACGCAGCCGACCCGGGGTAGGGGCTGAAGGCTGAGCCAGAGGAGGATCTCGCCAAGTCTTCATTCCGCGGAGCGGCCAAAGCCGAGGCCCCGTAAGCCGGACACGAATATAGAGCCAAAGAGCCCGGGGGCTGGTAGAGGTAACCCTGAGGATAGGACATTGGTGAGCGCTCTATAGGTCACCGATTCCAAAAAGGGAAGAAAAAAAAAAAAAAAGCGCACAAGGCGGCGAGCAACAACGGTCGAAACAATAAATAATCAACTCAATAATCGGCCGTGCAAAGAGTCATCAAACTGTGAAAATAAAAAAGGCCTCCCTCCACAGCCCCCTAACTGGGGAAAAAAACACACCGAAAGATCTGTTAAAGTGCCCACATAGAGGCAATGTGGCATGCGTCTTGATCCCCTAGCGTCCGATGTTTTTAGTGCGCGGCACTATGAAGTGAGGAGTTAGGAGGGAAGGAGCCAGTTGAGTTTCAGACACACAGAGCATTGGGGGAAACTGGAGCTGTCACTCCGGCTCATCTGAATATCTCATCCCCGCCCCCTTTCTGCCTCATAGAAATGGAGCCTCGGAACAAAACCGACACTCCACGCTGCAAAAAAGTATGCTCGATCCATCCTGACACGCGCTCTCTTCTTGCTTTCTTTGTCTCTCTGCGTGTATGTTTAAAAACTTATTCAAACCATCTGATTGCATCATCTGTTTATTATGATAATCGCGAACACATTCATTGTTACACAAAATCGTAGTTTTTATTTCACGGAGACTCAACTTAAAATACAGATACAATCACGTCAGTTTAAAAATGTTCTGCTATTTAACTTTCATTCATTCGCCTGATGAAATGACAAAAATACCTTTGAATCGGTGTCTGGTTTTCCGTTTAAAATGTTCCGCCTTGTTATTTTTTTTCTTAATTCGAGCTTATTTCTGAACTTGTGAGACTCGGTCATGATGGAAAGTTCTTTCACACCACCGAGAGGGAGAGAGGAGCTGCTGATAAAGAGCATTAAGAAGGGCAGATCGCTTCTTTGACAGGTCCTCACTCCGTCAGTCCGTCAGACCTTACGCGCGCGGCCTCGGTGGCCACGGAGCTCGCTCCTTCGGCAGTGCGCGCGCCGTCCTGCGGGAGGCGTTTTCCAGTCCTAAAGGTCCCCCACTTCACAACGTCTGAACTACGGTCATCCCTTACGACGACAATTCCATTTATCACCGGTAATAAAGCTGTGTGTGGTGGGTAATTGTCGCTTTATGACGGGCAGACGCTCCGGTACACCGAGAAAACCACAAAAACACCATGTGCGCGAAAGAGAGAGAGAGCGAGAGAGAGAGAAAGAGAGAGAGAGAGAGGGGAAGAGAGAGAGAGAGAGAAAGAGAGAGACTACATGCAATTCTGTAATTTTGCAAAGTTTGCCAGATTATTCAGGATGTCACTTTTTTCACTGTTTTGGATGGTCATGGTGACCGTTAACGCATGGCTCAGCAGTCCTTGTGAGCATTCATTCAAACTAAAGATGCCATCCATCAGATGCTTGTTACTCCAAAATAAATTTAGTCTGACCTGTAGTAAAAACTGTGTAGTAAATCACAGTTTAACATGACCTGATGTGGTGAAATTATGGACTTCACTTTATGTTAAATTGAATGAAGAAAAATATGTGGTTATAAATAATATAACACCTTCTGAAATGTGACAAAACATTCAAATACATTTATTTGATAAGGTTTATTAAATTCCAAATTAACATGATAATGGGGCAATTAGAAATGGCAATAATTTCCCAAAAAGTAGCCATTTGAAAACTACTGATACACTCCACGTGTTACATTGCCTTTTTTCATAGACCATGCTAGTCAATTGATAAACTTACAAAACAATCCAATCAGTGATCGAATATAATTATGACAGGAAGATTATTATTAAATAAAATGAACTTTCTTATTCCAAACGCAAAATTAAGTACATGTTTTTATTAACTTATCAATCGGTTATTGGTCGAATCTTGATCTAAAATTACACATTTGTTGCCTCTCCCTTATATCCAGAGAGAACACTGGACAACGCTTAAATTGAGTCCACTGTTGTAATCAGTTCACATAATAAGCACATTTGCACATAAAACACTAGTGCCAAAATGTTTTGGTGTGGACTTGGTGAATAAATACAACAATTACATACAAACAATTACAACAATACAAACAATGTCATAAATATTCCAGACAAACGGGACATCCAGGGCAAATGCCATATATTCGGATACTTTAATGGGCCTTCAGATTAACGGAGAAAGGTCTATGCCTTTTTTATGGACATATAGGTGACTTCTCTCTTGCAGGCTGGACTAATCAATCCCAGAAGAATAAATGAGCGCTTTCGAAACAGATTGGGTGAAGATATGGCTGGGTGGGAGTACTGTTTGATCCACACCAGGGGGCACTGTCTCCTCTACACACAGGCTACGGTGCCAACTATCCTCTGCTGTGATCCTGCTGAGTGATTTTGTGTGTATGAATGGCCTGTAAAAGTGTGAACACATATAGTAGTGAAGGTTTGTTCATGTACATTGTTAATCTCTGCATATGCAAATTGCCATTTTTAAATGAGCTCACTGGTTTGGCAAAGGGAACATCTTTGTGTGCAAGTGTGTCCGTTAAACTTCACTGTAGTCAATACCAGGTCTCAATTTCTAGTCAGACTGTATTTCCAAATATACATTTTGGCCTGTCTTAAATGGGGGGAGATGGGGGAGTGAAGAGATTGACAGATCAACAGAAAGATGAGGCCGAAAGAGGGAGTGACAAGAACGATAGAATAGAAAGGACAGACTGAAGGCGGATGCATAGACAGAAAAGCATCAGGTAAGACAGAGAAGTAGAAAAGAAAGATGTACACCCTCCTGGTTAAACTTATCGTACCCCCATTTTCACTTTAGAATGTAAATAACCTGTAGAAGTGATTCTCTTTTTAAAAAAACAATACGTGGTGGTCAGATCATTGGTGGTGAAATTGGAACGTGTAGCCCACTGATTTACCAATAATTAAAATATATAAAAATCACCTAAAAAACAGAGTTTTGCTTATTGTTTACTTAATTGAACAAAAACCAAACATCCCAAATAATTAACTGCTGTTGTCACTCATATTTTGAAGGATACAAGCAGTTCTAATTCTTCAGCTCACTGGCTCGAACTTTATACCAGATGCTGTAGTTAGGGGGGGTAACAACCAATTACCAGTCGCTGCTTCTTTTTAACAACTGCTTTTTGGTGATTGTAAATAGTTAATATTTATGGGAAAAAGAGACAGATTTACCTAAATGCATTTAGAATTTCTATCAGCTTTAAAACCTATTGATTGATGTGAGCTTTTTAAAAAAAATGCATCATCTATGACTTGTATTTATTATGAATTGGTGGTTTGTGTTTTTGTGTTTGTTACTTAACTTTTTTCACTGGTAGACCCTGAATGAATATGGACTTACGCATGTTCTACAGCTGCAAGTGCATTTAAATGAATTTGGAGCTATGTTAAACTGACATATAAGACAGAACAAAATCACACCAATGCTGTATTTCTTTCGTCTTCTTTTTTGTTTTCTTTTGAAGTATCTCACTTCTTACCATACAAAAAATTCCTAAAGCATTTGAGAAAGTGTGTATTAAGCTTTTACCACTATGACTTTCCTGAAGTAAAACAACTCCCGGTACTTCATTCTCTGTTGGCAGAGGAATGAAATGTTCTGTATCTCAAGCTCTTGCAAAGTGCAGCACACGTGTGTATGTGTTTGCTTATATTTGTGGGTTTGCCTGCATAAGGTAAGGGACGAAAGTTAATTACGCGTTCATTGCTCAGTGTAGTTAACTAAACAGATTTTGGTTTTATGTGATGATAGCAACTCCTGAATGTAGAAACAGAAATAAAATAAAAAAACACTACAAATCGCACCTTTGTGTATCCGTTAGAAATTCACACGTGCCGCATGTCAGTGCATGACAGGAGCTCATTCCCTCCTTACTTTTTGTTTGTCATAGAAATGTTGTTCTTATTTCTTTGTGGATTGATGCTTTGGGGGAGGGGTCAGTAAAGGAGGGGGCAACCAGGAGGGTGAAGGGTTTTGGTGGCAGACTGGCGACAGGCCGCCATCTCTCTCCCTGCCTGGCATCTGCCCACTGCTGCCAACCTTCTTCTAATCAGCAGCCGTCCATGTGCTTGGCAGCAAAGGGGGTTTGAAATCAGTCCCTCGCCCCGAGTTAAAAACCATAAGCCCCATCACTTTGTAACTGGTACCTTTAGGGTGACGGAAGCAGGGGTGTCTCTGATGTGCTGGAGCGGAGAACATTGGTTGCCACATTGCTTCAAATACATTATGCTGCTAGCACTGTTGTTGCTGTTGTTCTTGTTTATATACTTTTTTAACATCACAAGAGAGCGCTTTCTTTTGGTTTGATTTGTCTAACATGCTGCTAACTGACATGGATGTTGAGAAAATGGTTCGAAGGGAGGAAAGTGAAGCAGTAAACGGATGGGCTTAAAACATAATTCCTCTTGAAAAAAGCAGAGAAACAACATTTGCTCTTGTAGTGAAACACAAGTCTTTTTGCTTTGCTTCACTCTGACATGTTGCCTGAATTGGTGAGACAAGGGGAACGATGCGCCCCTGTCCTGATTCGTAGCGGAAACCATCTTTCTCCAACACTGTACTGTAAACCAGAAGTTAATAATTTAAACATTGTTACACTTGCTTATGTGGTATGTCTAATGCACAGTTGAGCATTATACTGAGAAGTTGAAAGATAGCAACAACACCACCAATTACACTTACTATTCTAATTATACAAATGCTCATTGGAGAACAAATCGTGTGGTGAATTGCACGGAGCTAAAGGGCTCATTCGTCTCCTGGGTGGAGGTTCAGGGATTTCTGTGGGATGACTGCCGGCTTCTGAAGTAACAAACACAAAGGATGGGTTATGTGGAAAGGAAACAAAAAAAAAATCCACAAATTATAGGAATTATGTGCAGCATTGGTTTCAAACACACATACATCCAGACAGACTGATTGATGAACGAAATGAGTCGCCGAAAAATCAAACGGAGGAAATAAAGAGAGACACAAAGGGGGGACAATTTGAAATGGACTAACCCTCTCTGGTGGCTCTGTAGCCAAGGGTCGAGCAGATAGGGTTGCCTAGAAAGAGTCTGCTGACAGCCAGTGTCACTAGGCTTTGTAATCATTGTGCTGGACCTGATAGGGTTACTAACGGCTAATCCAGGCTGACCTTGGTTAGGTGCCCTGAATGAGGATGGCTTTGTACGGCCGGGACAGCTAACAGTATGACGGTGATGCTGACATATAATGTCTGCGTGGGGACTTGCCACCACAGCTCTTTTGTTGTACTATCGAGTTGCAAGTCCCAACCACACACACAAAAATGTTTCTCTTCTGTCTCCAAGTGGAAGAAAGGTGGCATTTAAA